TACTCACAATACTTGATGATTATATGATATAAAGTGAGCATCTTATCAATCCGCATCCACTGCAACATTGTACAGAGTTTGGATACAATTGCACGAAACGCTCACTAACACATGTCGCTGAGTTAACTGTGCACACAGCAGCGCACACACACACACACACACACACACACACACAGACATTGTATAAACAGCATAATGCGTTACTTCCCTTTCAACGACATGAAGTCATGTATTTGAGCAATAACACAAACAGACCAGTAAGGACTAATTCAACAACAATGTGCTGAATTATGACTTATTTGGACTCAAAAATGAAAGAAGATTAGAAGCTGTCTGAGCCTCCTGAAGAGCTCAATATGGAAGCTGCCCCAAACAAAGGAGACTAAAGAAACTGCGCGAGCTTCATTTTCACTGGGTTAACCGTGATACCTTATCTGGCCTGAATGGGTTTCATGTCAAACATCTTGGTTATTTGATGGTTAACTGCCTCGCCATTCTCAGTTTCACTGTTGCTCATCTCGGTCTCTCTTTATACAACAACACATTGTCTGGGACTGTTTTTAATACCCTTTGCAGACAGTGTGGGAACATCTGCCTACAGATGCGAGGTCTCATTGTTCACTCTTTTAATAAAAGAATGAAAGACAAATGTTGATGCATCTTAAAATGAATATTTTGGGGAAAACATCATTTTTAGTGCACATTCAGTTATCGCCTGACATATAACTGTGTGCAAAGACTGCATTTCCTTTTAATCTCGTGCAGCTCCTGTCTGGTTTAACTGGTTGCCGTGACATGACGGCTTTATAACGACACTTGAAGGAGACCTGCGCACATGTCCAATGTGTACACTTTTAACCGTAACTACTGCTCGCGCCTCTGTGAAACGAATGACCTCGGCTGAGCAAGTGCACAAGAACAAATCTTAGCACTACACAGAGGACTGAAAGGACTTTTCACTTTCCAAAGACACAAATAAAGTTATCTTCGCCCGTACACGTACTCACACACTGCCTCTTACTGGCCTGGACATGTACGAGTACAGTACAGAAAGTCACACAGCTGCTTAAAATCAAGTGCGATGAAAGATGAAAAGGGAGGTCTGCTGTTTTCTTTAAAGCGAGCTGGTTTAATAGGAAAAACTGTGTGTGCAAGTGTGAGTCTCAACCGCCAGTCTAATTGCAATAGAACAAAGTTAATGAGCTTGATGACAAAATAGTCCGGGTTACAACGCTGGAGATGGAGACAGATGGTGGGGGGAAAAAGAAAGAAAAAAGAAAATGTAAGTGGTCACGTAGGCGAATTCACGGGACAAGGAGAAGACAGGAGATAGAGCGAGGAAGGGAGGGAGGAGGAGATGATGATGAAAACAAGGAGAATAGAGAGGTTGAATGTGTGCGCCAGATATAAAACAAGATAACTTTGTATCTGGTAGCTTGGCACAGGTCAAACATGTAGGGGGACATTTCTCTGAGCTGCTTACCCGGGAGACAAACTCTGGTGACTGGAGGCTGAGTTGTTGCTGCAGGAGAGCGCCTGGAAGGACGAAAACAACACAGAAAGGGGGAAAGAAAGATGCTATAAAACAAAGACTACCACAGATATATATTTATATAGAAACACTAGCAAATCTTACTTGAAAATTTAAAAACCAAACACAAAAAAACAAACAAAATAAACAGATTTTAGAGGCTCTGGCAATAATATATAGATATGTGGACGTTGCGTGGACTCCGGGCAGTCCTGTGGAAAAACGAAGTACCCCAGGATTCATCAGCTGTACACCACCTTTAGCTGCGATAACTTAAAGTAACTGTTTTCTGTATGACTGTCTCACACATTGTGTGGGAATTTTGGCCTACTCTTCTTTACAACGCTGCTTTAACTCATTGATGTTTGTGGGGCTGGTTTATGCACAGCCTGTTAAGGTCCTGCTACAGCATTTCAAACAGGTCGAGGTCTGGACTTGGACCATCGCTGCTATGCTTGAGAGAGCCCTCCACAGACCTGCTTGACAGTAGGTATGATGCTAATATGCTGTGTTTGGTTTTCTCCACAGTGGTGCTGTGCACGACAGCTGAACATCTTCACTTTGGTTTCGTCTGTCCAGAAGTCGTGCAGTTTGCTCAGATGCAGCTTTGCAAACCTAAGCTGTGTTGCCATATATTTGTTTCTAATTATACTTTTGTGAACTTAAAACATTTAAAATGCTAACTGTGGCTGGCTCTTGGGTTTTCTGCAATTCCTCTGAACATTGCACAGTCTGACTTTGGGCTGAAGTTGCTGCATGTGCGTCCACACCTGGGAAACACACACCTGAATGCTCTAGAGCAGCAAACTGAAAAAGTGTAAGTTTTTTAAGCATTTAGTTGCGTGTTTACATGTTGCATTTCCTGGTTGAACTGTGTGAAAAGTTTCGAACAGTCAAGGCAGGGGTTGCAGTGTATAAATAGACTGAATACTTTTAGGTGGAGCTGGTCAGTGTTCTGTAACATGTTGCTAAACACATCAGTTTTAACCTCCTGAGAGCCCGTGTCCTCATATGGGGACATTACTGTTTCCTTCTTGCTCTTTGCTCAACTGTGTGAATGTGTATGAAAAAGTCAGTATAAACAGACTAAATGTTGGTATTTTGGCAGTGGCCAGTGGGCTGAAACACGTTAAAGACATTAATCTTAACCTCCTGAGGCCCCGTGTCCTCATATGGGGATGTTGCATTTTGGCTTTTCTGCTCATTATTCTCTATTCAGCTAAATATTTTACACTTTTTTTGTTTTGTTTTATGCTGTACAATGAACCCACCGTCCCTATTTTTTAAAAAGTTTAACTGAGCTTGATTAGTATAAAAATAACCCAAATAAGAAATCGGGTTAAGTGAAAACTGTGCATGTGTGCTGGAATGGCGAGCTCCAGCTTATGTGTGTGTTTAATTCAGTATACGTGAACGATCCACGTTTGTGCGCCGTGTGTGCTTCTCAGTCTTTGCTCTTGTCTGTGTGGAGCTATCAGAGCTAAATGTAGGTCAGACGGGCTTCAGGTAGTCAATACAGAAAACTGAGCGTTAATTCAGCCTGAGGCAGAGCAGAGAGCTTTTAGTGTCTTTAGAAACACATATTCATACTTAAACCTTCACAGTGACGAACAGAAAGAAAGGTGGCCTACATACATATTTCTAGTACATCTAAATCTGCAGTCGCACTCCACTGGGAGAGATGATGCTCAGTGTGCTGCTGCAGCTTAAAGCAACACTGTTGAAAAACGGAGCACTCTTACTTAACTATAACTATAAACGACACGTATATTGTTGAAAAAAAAAAAGCTAGCCTTTCGAAAGAGAGAGACATGAAAAAATTGAAAAACTAAAAAACGACACATTTTCTTCTTCTTTTTGGCATCTGAAGAGAGATTGTAACTAGTCTCCTGCGTTATCGTATGCCACACGCATATATGCTGCAGCGGCCTCTGAAGTGGTGCACGGTGAATGCCAATGAGTCACTTCATGTAGCTGCAGGACTGTTTTTCTGTTTGTGCTTCATGTGCTTCATGACAACAGAGGAATTCCTTATAGAGCATTTGAACCGTGCCGTGCACAGCAGAGAACTATTCCTATTGCTCTGGAAACCAGAGAGGAGAAGAATTAAAGATTCCTTCGGCTGTAGCATCGTGTTGAGTTAACTTTTCAAATCTAGCTTGTAATCATTTTTGTCTGTCTGAAGTATGTAGGGTCTTCACTGGACTGGTTTAACGGTTCAGCTGCACTGATGTCAAACATCCCACTTCAGTCCCACTGCAAGACAATGCCTCCCCCTTGTGACAAACCGGTGGAACTGCAGACGGCAAGCGTTATTCTGATTACTTTCTAAAATCTAATATTATTCTGGGAAAAAAGCATTTACACTTACCACAAAATATGTGGTAAGTTATGTAGATTTCAGCTTGATTGATGTGTATGCATGAATTATGCCAGCTCATTATTTAAAACATGCTAGAAGCCACTAGAGGTACTTACTTGTTGGAGGCACACTGGACATTGGTCAGTACAGTGAAGTTATTCCTTACACTTCGAAGGCTTGCAAGAACCTGAACAAGCAGAGAGCGAATCAGTAGCATTCTTTGCACTTTTACTTATTTACTTCAATTTAAACATTAGGACAAATTTTGATAGTCCTGTTAAAACTGAGCCCTTTTTACACCGCATGCACATTTCAAGCCTGCATTTTAGATTTCAGTTTTGCAACTACTTACATGTATGCTGATAACCGTGGTATTTATTGAAAGATTTACTTAAAATAGGCTTAGTTTGAAGATAAAAACATAAATGTGTACATACAACTAGATAACGAGATATTTACCTGAGCAAAAGGTGTTACGATCAGGTCATCACCATGTCTAAAAAGAAACAAACCATCGTCAGCAAAATGCTTGGATACAAAACATATCAAGAAAATGAGAGAACTGTTAAGAAAAAGAGCAAAAAGAAATGACCCAAGCAGCTTTGTGCAACAACCTAATAAATGGGAAGGAAAGTATCGTGGGAGAACGCGTACCTGGGTCAAGGAGGCCTCGATATTGAGATCAACCTATTTTTGTTAGCTGAGGTGGGGACAGAAAGTGACTCTTCTGTGGGTCCAAAAATATTGTGATAATGTGGTCACTGAGGAGATCCTTATATAGTTAGGTCCATATGTTTTTTGGATAAAGGCACAACCTTTGTAATGTTAAACCTTTCAGCAGCCTTTCAGCTTTAATACAAGAAGGTGAACAAATAGATGGCACGAACTGCTTAGGAATTACAGACTCAGAAGTAACAGGACAAAAGTTTCTAGAATTTGTTTTTGGCAGCTGTTCACTGAAACCCTTGATACGAGGTAAAATATGAAATCAGTGCAGTGAAGGAGCCCATCGTTAGGCCGAAAAAACTGAATAAACCCATTGTAGGAAAAGAGATTCCAGGACTGACCAAATGAACAATTTGGTCTGTTCTTATAAGGAAGGCAGCTCAAAATATTCCTCTGTAGGCCAGGAGGATGAGGGATTCTTTCCTTAGTTAAAAGGTTCAATGTCACAACAACTAGCCAAGTCAAGAAGTCGCTCCCAAGGAAGTGGTCAAAGTTTACAGATGAGAGACTCCTTCATGGACAGAAACAGTGAAGGTGCCAACTACAGATAACATTCAAGACCAGGAGGAGAACATCTAAGAGAGATGTTTCCAGAAAAAACACTTTGGCTTGATGAAGCCAAGACTAACAATACACTCTTTTCAGGAAATGTTGTCAATATTCTTGCAGTAATTTCATTGTGATCGTCACTACTTACGGTGAACACTCAGTGGCCACCTGTTCAACTGCTCATTAACATAAAATACCCAGCCAGCCTGTCTATCATGTTGGCGCCAGACTGGCTGGTCTGAATATTTCAGAAGCTGTTGATGTGCTGGGAATTTTCCCACACAAACATCTCTTGGGTTTACAGAGAATGTTCTGGAATAAACAGAAAAAATCCAGCGAGCGGCAGTTCTCTGGGCAAAAATGCCCCGTCGATGCCAGAGGTCAGAGGAGAATGGATAGACTGCGTCGAAGAGACAGGATGGTAACAGCAACTCAAATAAGCAATCGCTGCAACCAAAATATGAGGAAGAGCATCTCTGAACGCTGAAGGAGATGAGAAGCAGAAGACCACAGCAGGTGCCGCTCCTGTCAGCTAAGAACAGGTTGAACAAACTCACCAAAATCTGATAACAGACGATGGGATGGTGCCTGATCTGATGAGTCTTGATTTCTGCTGCCACATTTAGGTGGCAGGGTGAGAATCTGTCCTTTCTCCTGCTGCTGATGAAAGGGTGTGGTGCATAGAGCATCATTTAAACACCACATCCTACTTGAGTATTGTTCCTGACCAAGTTCATCCCTTTACCATCCATCATAGGTCAGATCATCTCAAATGATCTGATTACTTGATCACGACACATAAATGGCCTTCACAGTCACCAGACTTCAATCCAACAGAGCGCCTCTGGGACATGCTGGAGCGGGAGAGTCGCATCATGGATGTGCAGCTGACAGATCTGCAGTAGGTGTGTGATGCTATCATGTCCATATGGACCAAAATCTCAGAGGAATGTTTGCAGCACCTTGTTGAATCTGAGTAACAGAACCTGGTAATAGCAAAGTGTACCTAATTAAGTAACTATGGAGTGTATTCAGTCAGTCAGCTGATGTCCACTGAGCTACGTGCACAGTATGACAACATACTGCACGTATTAGTTAAATAATACTTTTAATGTACTAAGGTCAAGCATAGTGAAACATCTTCATTTACTGGAAGTGCAGATTACGAAAAACATTTCCTCACATGTAAAGTGATGATTGTGCTGAATTGACTCCTCCGATCTATGACATGCAAAGCAGTCAGCACAGTGAGAATTATTTTAGAGAAGAGAGCAGTAGTGTTTGTGGTGGAGGCCAGATATGCAAAACCTGGAATGCATGAACACAAACCAGGACTGACTGCGTCTAACAACCTGTGGCATTTTGCACCGTTAAAAAGCTGCAGAATCAAGTTCACTTGAGGTGAGAGCACCTCAACACCTGACCCTAAAAAACATACTTACTGAACTAATTTCAAACTAATTGCAATTTATTTCTACTCACAGTTCAGAGGCGATGGAGGAGTTTCGTGACATGGACTTGGGGGACAGTTCATAGTCGCTGTCTGAGCGATAGAGGAAGGACTCTCGGCGCTGGTTGTGACCTGGGAAGTTGGTGTGGAGGACCAGACCGGAGCCAGGGGAGGCCTGAGGGTCCAAGGGGCTGCAGCTAGAAGAGGGTCCATTCTCCACATCGAAGCTGAAAACATAAACGAATTCTTCGCTGTTTCACTGTTTCATTGCTGAGAATATAGGGGCTAGCTTTAAGGGTCAAAGCAACAAAAGACTCCACCAGCATCTTTTGCTTCTGGCTTTCCTCTAATTTCATCGCGTCTCTCTTTGATTTCCTTTTGTTTTCACTATCAGGCAGCCTGACCTTGACCTAATTTTAATGGTGGAGCGTGAAAAAAAGGGCAAGATGAATTCTTCCACATGTCAACATCCTATGAACAGATCGCGCTCCCACACACACGTATATTCATATCTTGTGGGGACATCTAATTGACATAATGCTTTCCCTAGCTCGTCACCCTAAACCTAACCATGAAAAATGAATTCCTAACCTTAACCTAATTGTAACCCCTGTTCCCACCGTTCAAACTTGTGGGGATTTTGGTCCCCACAAAGATATGAATACACGCTTACACACACACACAAAATAAATCATGAATAAACCGGACAAGAAAGGGCAGAGTGACACACACCGGGGCGCACTGTGTTCCTTCACTGATGACAGTTAGTGAGAATGATGCTGCTAAATTCATGGAAAGAAGAACGTGGAGGAATGGAGGAAGGGGAGGTTGACCTCCTTACGACACCCACTGAGAAGGAGGACCTTGAGACTCGAGAGACTGTAGGTTTTTTTGGGGTTTTTTGGCTGTGGTTTATCCTCCCAGACATTTTTCCAAAGAAACAATCTGCATGTGACATTTACTTTCTTGTATTTTTCTCTGTACTTTACGCTTGTCAGCTTCTTTTCTTTTCCGTCTTTATAGTAAACACACACCTGCAGGAAGTGTGCCGACGGTTGCGCTACAAACAAACAGGCCGTAAAGAATAATATTAACTAAAAATAGTTTATTGGATTTCCTATATTGTGATTTTTCCCCTGTATCTCTTCTCCAAAGCGGCCACTCTTCTTTTTATCATAAGAAAAGCTCAAAGTGGTAAGTGACTAAATGAACAAAAGGCACCGAAACAGGCTTTATACTCCTGTGACTATCTGTAAAGCATTTGGGAATGAATGAGGAGGCGTTCTGGGTTTTTCTCCCCCCTTTCTTTCCTTCTCTTCCTATCCCCAGGGAAAGTCAGATGCAAAAAGGCAAATAATGGCCATCTGGGTCCAGACCCAAAATGAGAACACATGTGACGTGAGCAAAAAGCTCTGCGATGAAAATAAAAAGCAGCGGCAATTTGGTGCAGCGTGAGGAAGTTTATATGGTTGCAGCTTTTCAAGCTCATATAAGAGTATTAAGAAAAACAGGAAGTAAATGAGACAATAAAAACCTCAACGAGCACGAGCTCCGTTTAACTGCATCACAATCACGGGCAAACACAAACAAGCCGCAGCATACACTTTCTGCTTCTCGGCTCCTCCCATCGATGGACCGTCGACTTCATGTCATGGGCGGTTCAAGGAGTCACAGACATGCAGAGACGCAGCTGCTGTGAGGGTGCAATAGCATCCTTACTGCCAGTCAGCAGGCCAAAATGTAGAATTACATATCAATGTAAGCTGTGTTTATGTTAAAGTTATTGAATTTTATTATTATTTATTTATTTATTTATTTATTATAATTATTATCTCCGTAGCAGATACAGGAGCAATAATAGTTTACATAAAATCCCATAATTCCACTGGTACTGGGAAGATAGTGGCATGAGAGGTGAAAGGGAAATGGTACAAAAATACACAAGTAACACCAAAAAGTACGTAACTCTGTGGTGTGAGCTGTTTATGGCGACATGCACCTGCATCCACACCCATTTGGTGTGGATGTTCGGGATTTATCTCATAATATTTAATAAGCTCATTTGTTGTAGGCAACAACATCTAAATCTGCCTATTAACACATGCTGTCAGGTAAATGTAACGAAAGCAAAAGTTGGAGTGGAGGCACAAAACCTCTAGAGTGGAAAACGTGGACTCAATTTGAGAACACTTAAACCTCACGTTGAGTCATATCCCATCAGAGGGATGTTATGCTAATGTGAGTCATGGAAGAAGGTGTTGTGGTGGTACCGTTACACAACAGGAAAACACAAACAGTCAACACACAGTCATGACAGCCTTTGTCTTTTGTTAGCAATACCACACGATTGGATGTCCTAAAAGCAATTTAAAGTGTATAGACAGCATAGTATGCTTAGACCTGTGGAAAAGTCATCCCAGGAAAGTCTAAGGAGCTTGGAAGGAAAAGTGTCTTTGTCATCCGAGAAGCTTCTTCAGGTCTAGGATGAGAGGTGAAACGTCTTCAAGTAACTTAATGTGGGATTCATCGGGAAACTAGCGGATGATACCGTGGAGACAAAGACTATCACAACGTTTCCCAACCAGAAGCCGTGGGTGGATAAAACCATCCGCGACGCTCTGAGATCCCGCACCGCTGCCTACAACACGGGACTCATGACGGGGGACATGGACCCGTACAAAGCCGCGTCATATAACGTGCGGAGGGCGGTGAAAGAGGCGAAGCAGCGCTACGGGAGGGAACTAGAGTCACAACTCCAACAGAGTGACTCTAGGAGCCTGTGGCGGGGACTAAGGACAATAACGGACTATAAAGCACCAACAACCGGTATGACGAACGCGGCCGTGACTCTGGCAGACAAGCTGAACACTTTCTATGCTCGCTTCGAGGCTGCACCTAAGGACTCCAACAATGCTAGTGTTAGCGGCGCTAACGGCTGCAGACAGGAAGATACTGCCAGCACCGGAAACGTGCTCGTCATCTCCGAGCATGAAGTAAGGAGAGCTTTCAAGAGAGTGAACACCAGGAAAGCAGCAGGACCAGATGGCATCCCAGGTCGTATCCTCAGAGACTGCGCATACCAGCTAGCTCCTGTGTTCACTGAGATATTCAAATCTCTTTATCTCAGTCGGTGATCCCCACATGCTTCAAAGAGTCCATCATTGTTCCTGTCCCGAAGAAACCCCACC